GCTTATGTGCTAGATTTCAATCATGTCCTAAGGAATCACATTTACTAGTTGTTAAGAGAATCTTTAGATACCTTGAGGAGACTCCTAGTTTAGGACTTTGGTATCCTAGAGACTCTAGCTTTAACTTGCATGCCTTTTCTGATGCGGATTATGGAGGATGCAAATTAGATAGGAAAAGCACCTCCGGTACTTGCCAATTCCTTGGAAATATGCTGATTTCTTGGTTTTCAAAGAAACAAAATTGTGTTGCATTATTTAACACTGAAGTCGAATACATTTCAGCTGGTAGTTATTGTGCACAAGTTTTATGGATGAAACAATAACTTTTTGATTATGGAATTGAAGTTGGTACCATTCCTATCAAGTGTGACAATACTAGTGCTATTTGTCTCACTAAAAATCCCATCCAACACTCTAGAACTAAGCACATTGAAATAAGACATCACTTCATTAGAGACCATATCACTAAGGAAGATGTAGTTCTAGAATTTGTTGATAGTTTGCACCAATTAGTAGATATCTTTACAAAACCTTTAGACAAGGAAAGATTTTGGACACTTAGGAGAGAATTAGGTTTGACCAACCTATCTTCACTTAGTGTTTAAAATAATTTTAGCACTTTTAAGACTAAATGAAAAATGCTTAGAATAGTAATTTTTGATTGCATTCATTGCTATTAGTTAGGTGGAGTTTATGATTCTTGATAAAAATTAACTTTATGTTCAAATATAGTTTAAAGATTAATTTGATTGTTTGAACGTGATTAATTTTCAATATATGAGTTGCCAATACAACTAGAGAAAATTAATTTAGCATTTTGTGTGTTTAAAATCGGATTTTAGCATTTTGGTGCAGAGGGAATCGATACCCCCATGAGGGAACCGATTCCCCCTTTGAAGGGGAACCGATTCCCCCCACAGGGGAATCGATACCTCCCTGGGGTTCTGGCTTTATCGGGTAGAACCCTTGGTTTTGGCTCAAAACCTCTCTTCTCTTCACGCCGTTTATCCCCTCTACTCTCTCATATCTCCATTCTTGCCTCAAAACAACATTTTTAATCGGAATTCTCTTCAAATATCATCTTCTAAACCTGCTAGCATCATTAAAATCGTGCAAACAACATCAAAATCCACTCAATCTCATCTTTCAAGGTAAATTTTTCTAAATTCTCTATTTCATTGATTTTGAACATAAGACTAGTTTTAATTAGTTCTAGATAGAAATAGTGATCGAGAATTGATTGTTTAATGATTAGAAACCAGATATTACAACTAATTTTATAAAAAACACAAGAATTTTCCAAAACTTTTGAAATTTTTGAAATAAAAAAAATGTTTTTCAAATTATTGTGTTTTAATTGAATTATGTAGTTGTTATGAAAACTATACATATATTGTTTTTCAAAATCTTATTTTTCAATAGTTTTCAAAAACTTTGCCCATTAGGATTGATTTAGATAACCTTGAAATATTGAGGACTCAATTGAGTTTTGGGATTGATTGAATTGCATACATGTGTTTTCTAAACTGTAGGTTATCCATTCTATTATGATTTCCTAAACCATGTCCAATCCTAAACGTGCTAGGTCATCATCTAGTCGCTCACACCATCAACCAAATCCACCTCCAAATCCTCCTCCTATTCCTGAAATTCCAATTCCTAATCCTAATCCAGTTGATCCCAATATAACTATCCAAAATTCATGCTTCAATCATCATGGTCCTAGAAATCATCATTTTTGGTATTATCAATATTTCTCATAATAAAAGAAGGGATAGTGCGAGTGTCTTAGACCTTCATGAACGTTTTCTTCATCTAATGATTTCTTGGTGGTTTCGACCATCCGGAGGTCATTATTATACTCTTAGAGCCTTGGATCTTTGATGGTTACATTGTTTCGAAAACAGTAATAAAATAAACCTACCTCAGATCATTTTTGCTGAAATTGTTGAAACTGTAAATCTTGTTCCTAACAAGAAACTCTGTTCATCTCTAGTTTACGGTTGCATTTTGAGTAATCTTTTTTCTAAAGCTGGGCTTAGAGTTGGTCTAGATGTTTCCTTTCCTCTAAAGAAACAAATTAATCTTCTTTCCTTAACGAGAGCGGGATGGATAAAGGATAAGGAAACCGGTGAATGGGTTCGATCTTCTGAAAATACTCCGGGAGCTAGTTCTTCACGAGCTCCACCAGAAGGTGACGATGATCCCGATCTTGAACAATTAATGCGAGACATCGATGAAGTCGAAGATGAGCCTGAACAGCCCGAGGAGCAGCTCGAGGAGCAAGCACAACAAACGCATCAAATGCCTCCATATTTTCAATCTTTTATGGAGACATTCGATTTCCGATATGCTACCATGGATTCGCGCTTTACTTCTATAGAGTCTCATTTATCCACAATGGGAGCTCAACAATTAGAAATTCTCCGAGAGATGCGCACAAACAACGCTTCGATGAATGAACGTATTGATGCACTCTCACATGAGATGGCTGCTATGAGAGCTTGTTTTCCTCCTCCCGATCCGGATGTTTGATTATGTGTTTAACTTTAGAACTTTGAACTAAAAGATTATTGTTTCAACATTTTGAATATTTTGGAATGTTTGATTTTGTGGATTGTTAGACTTTGGATTTGTTTGGATGTTTGAACTTATATATTTGGTGTGGTTAAATTTATTCATTATTGCATCATTTACATCATGTTAGATATATGACCAATTTTGCCATGTCACATTAATTATGAATATTGATTAAGAAACTAATGGCTAACGTTTCTCTTGATTGTGATCTTAGTAGCTTAAACTATATATAATCAATTTGGCTAAGTAATTTGAAAACCTTGTTTAAATTCTTTTAAAATGTCCTTTTGATTTAACAAAAAGAAGGAGAAGTGTTAAATGTTTTAAATGGGAGAAGTGTTAAAGTAAGGGGGAATAATTTCAAAACTTGATTTCAAACTTAAAATTACTAAAATGTTTTGTTATATCAAAAAGGGGGAGATTGTTGAAAACATTTTGATATTTCGATATAACAAATTAAGTTAAATGAATTTTAAGATTTTCCAAAAAGATTTTCTAAGTATATTCGATATATTTATTCGAATATCAAAACATTACTCTAAATCTTTCAAAAGTCATTTTTAATCCTTACTCAAGTGTAAAATTAAGTTTTAATCTTAAAACAATTTCAAAATAATTTTACAAAGTATTTCGAACCGTTTCAAAGCCAAAAATTCCAGATTGCTCAGAGGGAACCGATTCCCCTCAGGGGTACCGATTCCCCCCACTGTTCAACGGTCGAAATATTTGAATTTTACACTTAGGGAACCGATTCCCTATGAGGGGTACCGATTCCCCCCACGCTCCAAACTGTTTTATTAATTGATTTCACACTAAAACGGCTACATTATCTTCATTAATGATCCCTAACATTCAGAAGTGATTCAAGGTGTATTTAAGCAAGCTTAGAAGCCATTGATCAAGAACAAGAAACATCAAGCAACTAGAATCAAGAGAGAATCAAAGAGAAAGCATCAAACCTCAAGTTTGAGCATTTCAAGCCTATTTTTCATTCAATATTCTTTTTGCTTTCAAGAACACTTATTGTGCTCAATTGTATTCATTCTTGAGTGTTATTTTCTTTGTTCTAGAATTGTGCAAACAATCTACCTTGTGAGGATTTTCTTGTAAGTTTGCAAATTTGTATTGTTCTCTTTGGGAGAGAGTGTTCTCAATAATTTGGGGTATAATTCTTGAGGGTTTGTAAGGTTACTCTTTGTCCTCAAAAGAAAGATAAATTAGTGAATTTGTGGAAAATCCTTAGTGTGGATAGCTAAGGTAGTGGACGTAGACTTTGGTTGAGAGAGTCGAACCACTCTAAATCGTTGTGCAAATTTCTTTCAATTTTTTGCAAAAGCTTCCACCAAAATTTTAATTGCCAATTCACCCCCCTCTTGGCCATATTCGTCAATCGATTAACTCAACAAGCAGCTAGATGTTAAAACATCTTTTCTTCATGGAAATCTTGAAGAATATATTTACATGCTCCAACCTAAAGGTTTTGAAGAAAAAGAAAAGAAGAACTTGGTTTGCAGGTTGAACAAATCTCTGTACGGTCTAAAGCAGGTGTCGAGGTGTTGGTATAAGAGATTTGATTCATTCATTATATGTCTTGGATACAACATACTTAACACAGACCCTTGTGCTTATTTCAAGAGGTCTGGTGATAACGATTTTGTTATATTGTTGTTGTATGTAGATGACATGTTGGTTGCAAGACCCAACAAAGATCATATTGAAGAATTGAAGGCATAACTGGTTAGGGAATTTGAAATGAAGGACTTGGGATCAGCAAACAAGTTTCTAGGGATGCAAATTCACCGAGATAAAAGTAATAGGAAGATTTGGCTTTCACAAAATAATTACTTGAAGAAGATCTTGTCAAGATTCAACATGCAAGATTGTAAGCTAATTTCTACCCCTTTTCCTATTAACTTCAAATTATCCTCCAGTATGAGTCCTAACAGTGAAGAAGAGAGGATGGAGATGTCTCGAGTGTCGTATGCATCAGCAGTGGGAAGTTTAATGTTCGCTATGATATGCACAAGACCAGACATTACACAAGCAGTGGGAGTGGTTAGTCGGTACATGGCGAATCCAGGCAAAGAGCATTGGAATATTGTAAAGAGGATCCTAAGATACATCAAAGGGACCTCAAATATTGCATTATGTTACGGAGGATCAAACTTACTAATCAATGGTTATGTAGATTCTGACTATACAGGGGATTTGGATAAAAGCAAATCTACTACAGGATATGTGTTCAAAGTTGCTGGTAGAGCTGTAAGCTGGGTTTCAAAATTGCAGTCAGTTGTGGCTACATCCACAACAGAGGCAGAATATGTAGCAGCTACACAAGCCAGTAAAGAAGCAATTTGGTTGAAGATGCTATTGGAGGAGCTTGGGCATAATCAAGAGCATGTTTCTCTATTTTATGACAGTCAAAGCGCCTAGCAAGGAATCCAGCATTTCATTCAAGGATAAAGCACATACGAGGTCAATACCATTTCATTCGTGAGAAGGTGGAAGAAGGGACGATAGATATGTAGAAGATCCATACCAAAGACAACATAGCAGATTTCATGACGAAGGTGATCAACGCTGATAAATTTACTTGGTGTCGATCCTCTTGTGGCCTGTCAGAAAAGTGAGCAACATGATGGTACAAGGTAGAAAGAATGGTGTGAAGATATGATTGTTCCAATCAAATCTTCAAGTGGGAGATTGTTGAAAGTCTAAGTTGGTTGGCAGTCGGTTGCTTTGAACAAAATTAGGCAGCCAACTTTTGTTGAAAAAATTAAAAGGGATAATTAAAATTAGTCCTTCACTTTAGGGTATTTACAAGATTAGTCCTTAAGTTTCAACTATAAATACCCTAGCTCATTTAGCTTTAAAATCATCTCAAAGTATTCTAGCTTTCTTCCAATACTAGAGAGAATTTAGAGAGTTTCTTGAGAGTTGTTTTCTCCTTTTTATCAAGAGAGAATTATCATTATTTTCTCCTTGGTCGATCGAGAGAAATTGTAATTCCTATTTTCTCATAGTGAAATTCTTCTACCGTTGCCCGTGGTTTTTACCCTATATTATTTAGGGGTTTTCCACGTAAATTTTATGTCTTATTTATTTTCATTTTTATTTTCTCAAATTATCAGTTGCAATTTTGCTCTATCCGATAACCGTCTTCCGCAACATCCTTTTCGGTTGCATGCGAAAGGACTTATTTCGGGAGGTGATCAAAATCTTTCTACTCATTTCAACTGGAAATGCAGGTTCTAGACTATCCCAATCCTTAGTGCTAGAGATATCATCAAATATCACCAGACATTTTTCATCCTTCAAAAAGTTGTACAACTTCTCTGCTAATTCTTCATCCCTCTTCTTCCTATCATCTTCATTTAAATTCTCCAAACCAGATAGAACTGTTTCCCAAACTTTTCTTCTTTGGAACTGCTGAGAAACATATACCCAAACCAAGTGATTGAAATGGCCAATCACTTGGTTGTGATGATATATTTTCTTGGCAAGAGTTGTCTTCCTGAGACCACCCATTCCCCATATTGAAACAAATCTGCATTCACTTTCCTCCTCCACAAGAACCGAGACAAGTTTCTTGATATCACCATCCATTCCAACAATGTTTTCATCCATTTTATGAGGGAAAGGTTGCCTTGCTTCTCTCCTTTCAGCTGAAGAACTCGGCCCTTCTCCTTGATCCACCAACATTGCTACATCATACGTCTTTAAGCGTCGAGTCAATTCTTCGATTCTGTACCGGATCTTCTTTATCTCTGATCTGATCATGTGGAGCAAGCGACCTTCCTTGAAGAAACAAATGGATCTTCTGACGCTGTTTGAAAAACCAGATTTCCTTTCAGAAGCAACTTTGAGGGTAAACGTTTCGATCACATCTTCAACATCATAGGCTAATTCTCTGATCTCGGCAACACTGGTACGTATAACTTTGTTATCGACTTTTCTTGCATCAGCCACATTTAAGAAGCCTTGCATCCATCTCTGCTCCCTTTCCAAGCTCTCAACTTGATCTTCGACACCCAACAGGGATTTTACTTGTTGACTTAGCTCACCGATTGTTTCGAGCACAAAAGAAACAGCAGCGAAATCCATTACTGACTCTAATACAAGTCTAACACAGTTCCGAGACGGTCAAGACATAGGTGTTTGGGAATAGACACAGGTGGACGTGGATAATGTTTTTACAAGGAAATGGACAAGGCAGATGAAGATTAATCTTTGGAAAGTAGTAACTTGCGCTGTGCAAGAAGAAAGAGCTTGACATCGTGTTTGATTGTTTTGGATAAGGTGTGATGGTCTTGTATTGTGTGGAGGATGTTTTTCCTTGCATAAATAAAGTGGTTTTTTTAATTAAGATAAAAAAATATAAAGATGTCGAACAGAATTAATGTAATTAATTTGGCAATAAAAATGACAGATATGGTTGCACCTAATAAGAAATAATTGTGCGGAGAAAGGCAGCCTGACAGAAACAAAACAGGGTCAGTGATTCAGCTGATTTTTGATGAGCTGAACATTTCTTTCTTTCTTCCCTTTCTCTTTTGTGATTTCACATCAGCTTCATTGCATTCGAATTGCTCTAAGAAAGCCAATCTCATGTGAACAGCAATGGAATCTACACCATAAAAGATTACAACACTATCTTACAATATAACAATCTCTCTCACCAAATTACACAAATTTCACATAAAGAGTCTGAAGAAAACACTTGCTCCCATCCCTTCTTTCCCTGTATATATATATCGTCATGTTTGAGTAGTTGACATTGTATGAAAGATTACTTAATCAAAGTAAAAAAGTAGAGGATAAGAATATAAGCATTTCCTATATATACCTTGAGACAATTAGCTTCGGATGAAGTCTTGGAATATGATAGAAGGGATATGCGGGACTTTGTCAAAATCCTCCCCTCCTTCCACCACTTTATCTTTGAACATTTTTGGCATTGATTTAGTCTTCAGTTCTCAGAGGGTTGTAATGAACCTCAATCCATCTGGAACCATCTTCAGCCATGAGCATTCTTTGATCTCCAATCGCCGAAGACAAGGCATGACTCCTTCATCCACATTCTACTCCTCCAAACAATAGAGTTGTTTAAGTTTTAAGAACTCAAGTTTAGGAAATCCTTGTGCAGAGCAGAATATTTTGTTTGTCCTTAAAGCATGTTCATGCAATTTAAGAATCCTCAAGTTATGCAGTTTCTCTAGTGTTGGAATCGGATCTTCTGCAAGCTTGCATGATCTCAACTTTATGTAAGCGAGATTCGAAGACAAGTGATCATAATTTGGTAGCTCATTTATCTCCACATCTAAACTCAACTTACATAAACTACGGCAGCTTGAAAGGAGGTGATTCAAATGTCTTGGGTCTATTCTTCCATAATTGATAATAGACACGGAATGGAGATACCTGCCTTCAATGATGGGTAAATTATTGTCCAACTCCTCAACATTAAAATCTTCGATCTCAACCGCCCTCGAATCACCAACTCTCTAAGGTTTTCATGTTGATAAGACCCTTTAGATAACAATTCTTGGTGTTGAAGTTCACAAGTGTTTACATGTTTCTTAAAACACCCAACTTCAACTTTGTTTCATGATTAAACCACATAGGGAGATATAAATGTCGTAGTTGTTCCATCCCCACATCACATTAGGTACATGAGTGGAATGAATAGGTCCATAAGTATCATAACTAATTCTTAAATCCAAGGTTTGCAGGCAGCTTAAGTCGCCCAAAGATGATGGCAACTTCTCCATCATGAACTCAAAACCCCTTTGATAAGAATGCAGTGAAGCTATCTAAACAGAAAAGATAAAGAAAAGAGAGAAGAGCCTCTCTGAACCTTTTTTTATTAGAAATTGTATGAAACCTTTTTACTAGTCAGACTACTTATAATAGCTGAAAGAAACTCACGTGTAAACTCATACATAACAGAACCCTAACATACTCATAACCGCATGCACAATAGACACCACACAGCAGGTTATAACAATTGTACTAACATTCACCAAACTACTACACAGAATACTGAACCTCAACATTCCCCATCCCTTGCCAACATTCCAACTCTCATCATTAGCTCAATACTGGAAGTCAATATTCCCTATGTTTTAGTAGCAAATAAAACATATTGATATTGTGTAAGCTAGAGGAAGATCCGATGCCAACAATGGAGAAGCTGCCTAACTTTAGGATTCTTGAATTGGATTATGAGGCTTTAATAGCAAACAAAATATATTTCTCTGCACAAGGTTTTCCTAAACTTGAGTCTTTAAGACTTAAACAAGTCTTCAATTTGGAGGAGTGGAATGTGGATGAAGGAGCCATGCCTTGTCTTCGGCGATTGGAGATCGAGGAATGCTCAGGGATGAAGATACTTCCAGATGGATTGAGGTTCATTGTGTTGGATCATAAACTTGATCCATTATGGGAGCCTAAACCCAAACCCAAATTAAGTTGATGTCATTGCTTACATCAATTAGGAGAAGATGTCATTGCTTACATCAATTTAGTTAGGTGAGAGTTAGGCATGTCTCATTTTTAATGGTTTAAATTAGTTTATTTGTGTGGTGTAGGATTGTTCTTGAGTAGTATAAATACCCCTCCCCATTTTAGTTTAAGCATCAAGAAAAATTAAGCTTCTAAGTGAGTGAAGAAGCAAGGTCTAATAAGAGTGAGTTGTAGTTCTTGTTTTTGAGTGAGAGTGCTCTTGTAATATTTGTTTGAGTTTCAATAAAAGTTGTTTGTGTGAGTATTTTATTTCCAACAAGAGGTAGAGAGCCTTTTTGCTACTCTTATACCGGATCAAAAGACAACTTTGAAGGATTCAAGAAAGAGAGATAATAAGGCTCTATACCTCATCTATCAAGCATTAGATGATGATGGTTTTGAAAAGATTTCAAGTGCAAGCTCTACCAAGGAAGCGTGGGAGAAGCTGCAAACCTCTTACAAAGGATCCGAGCAAGTAAAGAAGGTTCATTTCCAAACATTAAGAGGATAATTCGAATCCTTACACATGAAAGCATCTGAGTCTATTTAAGATTATTTCTCTAGAGTAGTAGCTGTTTCTAATCAATTAAAAAGAAATGGTGAAAAGTTAGAAGATGTGAGGATAATAGAGAAGATACTCCGTTCGTTGGATCCCAAATTTGAGCACATCGTCATGACGATTGAAGAAACTAAATACTTGGAAGAGATGACGATCGAGCAACTCCAAGGATCATTGCAAGAATACGAAGAGAAGCATAAGAAGAAGCATGGGTTTACTGAGCAACTCCTCAAGCTGCAACTCAAGGATATGCATGAAAGCCAACGCAATGATATAAACCAACGTGGCCTAGGCAGAGGTAGAGGCCATGGACGAGGTGGAAGTCGAGGTCGTGGATGAGGCTGGAATTACAACAATAACAATTCCAACAACAACTATGAGACAAAAGCCAAGAATCCACTCGAGCTCATCCATACCGATGTGTGTGGACCGATCAAGCCGAGCTCTCTTGGTAACAGTAACTATTTTCTTCTCTTCATTGATGATTTTTCAAGAAAAACCTGGGTATATTTCTTGAAACAGAAGTCATAAGTTTTTGAAGTCTTCAAGAAGTTCAAAGTAGTAGTGGAAAGAGAAAGCGGTAGAAATATCAAAGCCATAAGATCCGACCGAGGTGGAGAATTTACTTCCAAGGAGTTTCAAGAGTTCTGTGAAGCAAATGGAATTCGTCGACCAATGACAGTTCCTAGATCCCCCAGCAAAATGGTGTGGTAGAAAGAAAGAATAGAATAATTCTCGACATGGCACGAAGCATGCTCAAAATCAAGAAACTACCCAAGGAATTTTGGGCGGAAGTAGTATCGTGTGCAGTCTACTTGTCAAACCGATCTCCAACAAGAAGTGTATGGGGAAAGACACCGCAAGAGGCATAGAGTGGAAGAAAGCCTGGCATTTCCCATTTGAGAACCTTTAGAAGTATAGCCCATGTTCACGTACCAGACGAGAGAAGAACGAAGCTTGATGATAAAAGCAAGAGTTTTATCTTCATCGGCTATGATGCTAATTCGAAGGGCTACAAGCTTTACAATCCAGACAATAAGAATATTGTGATTAGTTGAGATGTGGTCTTCAACGAAGAATGAGAATGGGATTTTAACTCTCATGCAGATGACTTCAATTTCTTTCTTCAGTTTGAAGAATATGACCATATAATGAGGGAACAACTAGGTGAACCTCAACAAGAACCTCAACAAGAGCTTGAAACTCCACCTACTTCACCAACATCAACCACTCAAGGAGACTCATTACCTTCGTCATCATCAAGTGGGAGTCAAAGTGAAAGAGTTGTGCAACATACAAGAAGCCTTAGAGATATCTATGAGGTAACTGAACGACAAGATAATCTTACATTATTTTGTCTGTTTGTCGATTGTGAACCAGTGAGCTTTCAAGAAGCGGTACAAGAAAAGAAATGGAGAGATGCGATGGACGAAGAAATCAAAGCCATCGAGAAGAATGACACATGGGAACTTACCTCACTTCCCAAGGGACATAAGGTGATAGGTGTCAAATGGGTGTACAAACAAAGCAAAACGCCAAATGAGAGACTAAAAGGCACAAGGCGAGACTAGTTGTTAAAGGTTATAGTCAAAAGGCTAGAATTGACTATGATGAGGTATTTGCTCCTGTTGCTCGATTAGAGACTATCAGATTAATCATTTCTTTGGCAGCTCAAAATAAGTGGAAGATACAAAAGATGGATGTAATGTATGCCTTCCTAAATGGAGTTCTTGAAGAGGAAGTTTACATTCAACAACCATCAGGCTATGAAGTCAAAGGGCACGAAGACAAGGTGTTGAAGTTGAAGAAGGCTCTTTACGGGATAAAACAAGCACCAAGGGCATGGGATAGCCGAATCGACAAGTACTTCCAAGAGAATAGCTTCAAAAAATGTCCCTACGAGCATGTTCTATATATCAAGATCAAAGATGGAGATATTTTGATTGTATGCCTCTACGTGGATGATTTGATCTTCATCGGAAGCAACCCAAGCATGTTTAATGAATTCAAGGATGTGATGATGAAAGAATTCGAGATGACAGACATGGGGCTCATGGCGTACTACCTTGGCATTGAAGTTAAGCAACAAAATGATGGAATTTTCATTTCACAGGAAAGCTATGCAAAGGAGATACTGAAGAAGTTCAAGATGGAGAACTGTAAGCCAATAAGCACACCAACAGAATACGGGATCAAGATGTCCAAACATGAAGAAGGCGAAAGTGTAGATCCAACATTCTTCAAAAGTTTGGTGGGAAGTCTACGCTATCTAACTTGCACGAGACCCGATATTCTTCACGCAGTTGAATTAGTTAGTCGCTACATGGAATCTCCAACAGCCACCCATTTTAAAGCCGCAAAGAGAATTCTTCGCTATTTGAAAGGTACAATTGACTTTGGCTTGTTCTATTCAGTTTCTAATGATTACAAGCTTGTTGGATATAGCGACAGTGATTGGGGTGGAGACATAGATAATCGAAGGAGCACTACTGGATTCATATTTTTCATAGGAGATACTGCTTTCACATGGATGTCAAAGAAACAACCGATTGTCATATTGTCCACTTGTGAAGCGGAATATGTTGTTGCTACTTCATGTGTTTGTCAAGCAATTTGGATTAGAAATCTATTGAATGATATAGGTTTGATACAAGAAGAGCCTACCAAGGTTTATGTCGACAACAAATCAGCCATTACCTTATCAAAGAATCCAGTATTCCATGATTGAAGCAAGCACATCGACATTCGCTACCACTATATAAGGTAGTGTGTTGCAAGAAACGATGTGGAAGTTGAATACGTGAAGTCACAAGATCAAGTTGCTGATATTTTTACCAAGCCACTGAAAAGTGAAGACTTCATAAGATTAAGGAACTTACTAGGGGTCACAAGATCAAGTTTAAGGGGGGTGTTGGATCATAAACTTGATCCATTATGGGAGCCTAAACCCAAACCCAAATTAAGTTGATGTCATTGCTTACATCAATTAGGAGAAGATGTCATTGCTTATATCAATTTAGTTAGGTGAGAGTTAGGCATGTCTCATTTTTAATGGTTTAAATTATTTTATTTGTGTGGTGTAGGATTGTTCTTGAGTAATATAAATACCCCTCCCCATTTTAGTTTAAGCATCAAGAAAAATTAAGAGCTTCTAAGTGAGTGAAGAAGCAAGGTCTTATAAGAGTGAGTTGTAGTTCTTGTTTTTGAGTGAGAGTGCTCTTGTAATATTTGTTTGAGTTTCAATAAAAGTTGTTTGTGTGGGTGTTTTATTTCCAACACATTGCAACCCTCCAAGAAATGAAGATTAAAGCAGTGGCAAAGGAACTCAAAGATAAAGTGGTAGAAGGAGGAGAGGATTTGTACAAAGCCCAGCATATTCCTTCTATCATATTCCAAGACTATTAATTTATCCCAAGCTAATTGTTTTCAACAAGTGTTTTTTGCACTCTTTATGTGTAATTTGGTGAGAGATATTGTTATATTGTAAGATGGTGTTGTAATCTTCTATGGTGTGGATTCTATTGTTGTTCACATGAGATTGGCTTCTGTATATTTGAAATATTAATTAGTGTTTAAGACTATCATAAACTATTGTAAAATCTACTCGGTTTACTCTTCTATTATTCGAGCATTTGGCTCAGTAGTTGATGCATGATACATTGTTCAAACCATCTTTCCACAAAGATCACAAGTAAAAAAGCATTTAATTGGGATGTGCTTGGTTTCGATAATCATGAAATAAAGGATTTAAATTTTGATTGTGATCGCGTTACGTTTATCACGATTTCCTTGATCTTGCTTAAAGGATCTAATTCATCGTTCCACTAGACCAATCGGCTATTGATCTATTATAACTCGATTTTTTTATAGAAATCACTAATTTTATTCAAAAATAGGAAATATCCTAAATTACAATAAATATTTACAATCATAATCGTAAATTAAGCACATAATTATGACAATTTTCTATTATCATTGAAACAAAACTAGCAACTTAAAATCACATAAGGATCATACAAGGAAATATTAAAATCTAACTAAGAAAACTTGAACAAAGATAGATACAAACAGATCTGATCGTATCGGTAAATGGACCACAAAAAATATCAAACTACTGAAAGACCACCGACAAATCACAAATCAGACTCGAGTGACTTGAAAAACTATCCACGAACGCATAACAGGTATTCAAATCCAATCCGAGTGTCCAAAGAAGGGAAGATCAACATTATAACATATAAGTGTCATCTTGATCAGTCGTGCAATGTCTAATCAACCCTTAAAAAATAAGTGAATACAACGGCCAAACGATCGAAAAATGTGTCAAAAGACATATGAAAACGTGTCATACAGACTTATTAAAAAAATAAAGATGTAATATAAAAAAATAAAATAGTAATAAAGAATATCTACGATTGGTAACCAACATTAAAATTGATGTTGTCGTCAATTAACAAAGACAAAAAGAAAAAAGAGAGATGAACGATTTATCAATAAAAAAAATTAGGGGAAAAAACTAAACATAAAATGAGGAGATTTGGAATTAGAACATGTAATTTTTATAACTCGAATTAAATCATTATTATATCGGACAAAAATATTAAGTATATTGTTTAGTATAATGTACACAAGGCCAACATCTCTTTATGCGTTAAATAAATCGTCAAACATTTTAAATTTACTCGAATTTCAACGTGCATAATATACCTGAATAGAACCTAAAATCTTAAAATAAAATTAATTAAATAAAAAAATAAATAGATAAAAATATGAAAATAGCCAGTGGAACACCATACAGATGGCTCCAAATGGCTAGACCTTAACCAACTCTTCATCGTTCGTGGCTGTTTAACAATGAATCAATACCCGTTTTTGAGCTTTTTCTTCTTTAACGCTCATTCTTTTTCTTCATTCTCTCTTCTCTTTCACCTTATCTCCTTCATATATCCTTAAAGAAGCGTTTGAGAAAGAGATAACAAGGCTTGTTGGAGAGGTTTTAAAAAAAGAAAATGAGAGAAGTGATTAGCATTCATGTAGGACAAGCTGGGATTCAAGTTGGGAATTCATGTTGGGAGCTTTATTGCCTTGAACATGGGATTCAACCCGATGGCATGATGCCTAGGTGAGATCATGGATATATGTATGGTTTGCATGCATCATGCAATTACTATCTTCATCTTTGATGTGCTTGCTGTTAGGATGTGTTTTTTTGCAGATTTGATCAATTCATTGTGTTTGCATGCAGTGAGGGTAATGCAGGTGCCAACCATGACGCTTTTAGCACCTTCTTTAGTGAAACCGGAGCCGGAAAGTACGTGCCGAGAGCTTTATTCGTCGATCTAGAGCCGACGGTCATCGACGAAGTCCGATCCGGGGCTTATCGACGACTGTTCCATCCGGAGCAACTTATTTCCGGAAAGGAAGATGCTGCTAATAACTTTGCAAGAGGACATTATACAGGTACAATCAAACTTCGTTTAATTTCGAGTTTTTGAATCATTTCGGTTTAAAGTTCAAGTCATTGATTCATTATCGTATGGTACAGCTGGTCGGGATATTGTCGAAGTTTGCCTTGACAGATTGAGAAAATTGGCTGATAACTGCAGTGGATTGCAAGGATTTTTGATGTTTAATGCTGTTGGTGGTGGAACTGGTTCTGGTTTAGGCTCATTGCTTTTGGAGCGTTTATCTGTTGAATATGGGAAGAAGCCTAAACTTGGCTTCACCATCTACCCTTCTCCTCAGGTAATTTTGGTTTAAATTCCAAACCGGCTCATGGCCCTGAAAATGTTCGAGACGACTCTGTTTACGTTACATTATCAGGTAGATATGTACAAATATCCAAATCCACACTATCCATTGTGCAGGTTTCTACTGCAGTTGTGGAGCCCTACAATAGCGTTCTCTCGACACATTCTCTCCTCGAACACACTGATGTCGCCGTGCTTCTCGACAACGAAGCTATATACGATATCTGCAGGCTGTCGTTGGATATTGAAAGGCCAACTTACAAGAATTTGAACCGCCTGATATCTCAAATTATCTCGTCTTTGACGACTTCGTTGAGGTTTGATGGTGCTATCAATGTCGATATTACCGAGTTCCAGACAAACCTCGTGCCGTATCCTCGTATCCACTTCATGCTCTCATCATATGCCCCGGTGATCTCGGTTGAAAAGGCTTACCACGAGAAGTTATCAGTTCCCCAGATAACCAGTGCTGTTTTCGAACCGGCGAGCATGATGGCTAAATGTGATCCAAGGCATGGGAAGTACATGGCGTGTTGTTTGATGTACCGTGGAGATGTCGTACCGAAGGACGTAAATGCTGCCGTCCGTTCCATCAAAACGAAGCGAACGGTTCACTTCGTAGATTGGTTAGTTGAAATTTTAAGCTTTCATTTCAGCAAAATGGATTAAGCATAAGCAATTTTATGATCATTGCCGGGTTTTTTTGCAGGTGCCCTACTGGTTTCAAGTGTGGCATCAACTATCAGCCACCTACGGTGGTACCTGGGGGTGATCTGGCCGAGGTAAAACGTGCTGTGTGTATGATCAGCAATAACACGGCAGTGGCTGAAGTTTTCGCCCGAATCGATCACAAGTACGATCTCATGTATGCAAAAAGAGCATTTGTCCATTGGTATGTAGGTGAAGGTATGGAGGAAGGTGAATTCTCAGAAGCTCGTGAAGACCTGGCTGCTCTCGAGAAAGATTACGAGGAAGTTGGCGCCGAAGCCCCCGAAGATGACGAAGAACCACCTGAAGATTACTAGAGCATCTACCATTTTTATGAAAACGACAGATACTGGTTAACTCCTAATTTCATTTCAGTTCATCAACAGCTTTTTTTTTTTTATGTAACAACGTTTATGCCTTGTGCCATAACTTGAAATCCAATTGGAATTTTTAGCATTTTCTAATAAAATTCGACAAATTATTTCGAAAAATAGAGTTCGGACATGATCATTTATATATATATATATATATATATATATATAATAATAATAATAATATGAAGCTTCCAAATTAAAAGAAAATCAATTGGCCTTGGAGGCGTGTATTACCAACAAATATTTCATAAGGAAAACACAGTAATTGAAAACAATGAGAAACCACTCACATAAAGCTTTTCACTTGGCACTGGCGAGTTGGGTGCGGAGCAGCTTGGCGGCGGCGACCATGTTGTTGAGTGCCGGTCTCACCTCGGCATACTTACGGGTTTTGAGCCCACAGTCAGGGTTAACCCACAAGATGTTGGTCTCGAGCACCGCAAGCATCTTGTTAACCCTATCGGCGATCTCTTCAGTCGATGGTATTCTTGGAGAGTGGATATCATAGACACCAGGGCCGATTCCAGCTCCGTACTTCACCCCTTCGCGGAAGACCGACAGAAGTTTCTCGTCTGAACGTGAGTTCTCGATGGTGATCACATCGGCATCCATGTCAATGATTGAGTGGATGATGTCATTGAAGTTGGAGTAGCACATGTGGGTGTGGATCTGTCCAATTTTTACAGAAGAGAACGAATGGTGATCATGGAGAGTATCGAGAAGGGAAACGAGTGAGGCGAGGTACAAACCTGGGTAGTATCCTGGACACCGCAGTTGGTGATCCTGAAGGAGTGAACGGCCCATTTCAAATAGAAGGAGTGCTCAGACTTCCTAAGAGGCAGACCTTCTCTCAAAGCAGCTTCGTCGATTTGGATAACATTGATACCAGCCTTCTCTAGATCCTCAACTTCATCCTTGATGGCCAAGGCAATCTGGTAGCAGGTCTCGAATCTGGAAACGGCAATCGTACAAAGTCAAACTATGAATATGCAGGTAGAAATGTAATATTTCTGACCATTTTTGCCTATAGGCTTTCTAGGACATACCTGGGCTGATCATTTCTGACAAAGGACCAGTTAAGAATGGTAACAGGTCCCGTAAGCATTCCCTTCATAGGGCGTTTAGTCATGCTTTGGGCAGTCGATGACCAGAAAACGGTCATTGGCTTGGGGCGGCTAACATCACCATAGATGATTGGTGGCTTAACACAGCGAGATCCGTAGGACTGGACCCACCCATTAACAGTGAAAGCAAAACCAGACAACTGCTCACCGAAATACTCAACCATATCGTTTCTCTGCACAGTTTTAAGCTATGATTAGGATGCTTGCCAAGTACTTAAGGTATAAAAGGTCGAAACAAAACAAATACTCGCCTCAGGCTCTCCGTGAACCAGGACATCGATGTCAAGCTCTTCCTGAAGGTCAACGACCTTCTTAATTTCCTCCTTAATGGCTTTAACATACTTGTCTTCCGATATCCTGAAGAAAATAAAAGATCACTAGTTAAAAGAAGATTAAAAAATAACATCTTATACGAAAGATATCAAGAAAAATTTCTCGACTACGCACTTGTTAGCCTTGAATTCACGACGAACTCTCCTGAGTTCCAAGGTTTGAGGGAAGGATCCAATTGTTGTGGTGGGGAGAACTGGTAGGTTAAGCTTTTTCTGCTGAGCATCCAGTCTAGCACTAACGTCGGTTGCACGACGGTGGTCAGAGCCCTTCAAAGCAGCAGCCTGGGAATGCAAACATGGTAAAACACGCAAGAAAATAAATATTTTTTACTGCAGAGCTATCAATTGAAAGACATAACAGGAAATTTAGTTTATTGAAACACTTACAGCCTTTTGAACATCCTCATTGGTCACTCTTGGGGAGGATTTCCTCGAAGCCTGAGCGGCAGCGTTGGCAAAAAGAAGGCCTGAAAATATATAAGCAACTAATAACACCGTGTCATCCAAATCTTGAGAAAGCAAAAACAAACGGCAAACATATAAGGAGGTACCTCATCCTTTTGACCGGCCAATGCCTTGGCAAGTGCATTGACTTCAACAACTTTCTGGGCAGCGAACGCAAGCCAGGATTTGATTTCATCGTCTAGCTTAGTCTCGTTCACTAGATCAACGGCAGTGTGGAGAAGCGAGCAGGAGGTGGACACCACAAGCTTGTCTGCACATGATAAATGACACAATTGTAACATTCACCAGGTAATTTACAAACCATCAAATGCAAGTATACCTTTTCCCACAACAGCCTCAAGCTGCTGCAAGGTGCTAAGAGAAGAAGCAAGATCATTGGCCCAAATGTTCCTTCCATCGACAACTCCAGCAAAGAGGTATTTTCCCTTGGGGAAATTACTCTTGACCAAATCAATGGTCTGGGTTCCACGAACCAAATCCAAACCATAAGCGGTAACGCCCTTCAATCCAATAAGGGTCTTGTACGCCTCAGCTGTAAGATCAGCAAAGTAGGTCTCAACCAAAACATTCAACCCGGAGAGAGTAGATTCCAAATCAGTATAAGCAGCAGTGAATGCTTGTAATTGGTGAGAGTCAAGATCCAAAGCAAGGGTGGGTTCATCAAACTGAATCCAGGATGCACCAGCTGCCTTAAGCTCGGATATAACTTCCCTGTAGAGAGAGTCAGGGATACAATAGCAAATTACAGTAGTTGTATTAATAAAAGTAAACAAGTCGACAAATAAAAGAACCGATTCTTACTTGTAGATAGGGATGATTTTGGGGAGGAGAGACAGAAGAGAAAAGGTCTTTTCAACACCCTTTGCCGGTTTAGAAAGCAACAAGTATGAGACTGGGCCAACAAGGACGGGAACAGTATCGACTCCAAGCTGCATGAGGGACAGAAAATCAGCATCCAAGTTTCACAGTAAGAACAAAAACATCACATAAGATGTACAAAACATATAATACGAACAAAGGTCACCTGAACCACAACCAAATTAACCGAATGTTCTAAGCCATTGCATCATATAAAGTATGCTAAAAGATCTTTATCACTTAGGTCCAAAACCTTGAAGCAATCTTAATGCATTTAGAACAACTTATGAATCCTAATTGGTAGATAGAAACATTGGTTCCAAAGAACATACCGTCTTAGCTTCCTTGTACTCCAACATCGCCTTATGAGATGCATAAAAGAAGTTAACATCAGGTCCCAATTCAGGAACAATGAAATGGCTGAAACGACATATTGCACAGAATATAGGTATTAGCACGAGAAAACCACGAATGCTCGACAAAGCTAATAAAGTATGACCAAGAAGGGCAACTTACTAGTTGGTGTCAAACCACTTGGTCATTTCCATGGCAGGAACAGAGGCATTTCCTCTGGCCATGGAGAAATAAGTGTCCAATCCAATCTCGCCACCATTCCAGCTGTATCTAGGTGGAACAGCTCCGAGCATCGATGTGGCATCGAGTACCTGGTCATAGTAAGAGAAAGTGTTGCTTGGAATGTACTTGATCCCAGCATCCGCCATCTGTATCCAGATGGCTGACCTGAGATCAGCTGCAACCTTCTGCAGATCCTCAGCACTGCTCTTCTTATCCCAGAAAGATTCTAAAGCAAACTTAAGTTCTCTCTTCGGTCCCATGCGGGGATATCCAACAATGTGGGAAGCCATTTCTGCATCAAATGAAAGAACAGACAAAAATTCAAAACTCAGCTTCATCATATAAAATCAAACATAAAAGTAACACTGTCCTATATTCATGAACTGAAAAATCATTGGAATCAAAGCTAAGTTCCATACAGAATCTGCAATTTAGCACGGACTAAGATCAAAAAGCTCATGTCAATTGGCACACGTGATTAGTAATCTAGGAGTCCTAAAATTCAAAGATAGTTATAAATTCATGTAAATAACCAAACAAAATGTTCACTTCACTTTAAATCTATAGCGACGAGTCAATGGTGAAACACTACATATATAAAATCCAAAACTTAACCAATGCTTCTAATAGCAACCAATTGGTCTCAAACCCAAGTTGTAAAATACAAACTTTTAAGTTATAACGATGAAAACCCGGAAAGAAAATCAACTTTTACAGTTGAAATTCTGACACCTGCAGACTGTAGGTTGATCTCAATGAAAAAAAAGCAATCTTTATAACTTTATTGAAAACCTCAGATTAATGAAAACCCAGAAAGGAGCACCAATGATAGTTGAAAATGAATGAAAGATAAAAGAGTGGCACTTCATTGATGGATAATAAAAGCAGAGAAGAAGATACATGGGAAAAAGAAAAGACAGTGAAGGAAAGATGGTGATGAAAGTTGAAACCGGACTGTACCGCAGCGGTCGGAGATGGAACCGGAGAGAGAAGAGATTCGGTGGAAGAAGGGAAGAAGTGGAACGATTTGAGAGAGGGAATTGGTTTGCTTATTTATATGCCAAAAATGGTGGCCGGCTAGTGGCTACCTACCGCCAAATAAAGGCCTCATGATCAGATCTAAATTTTTGGTTAAATATTTTTATTAGTTCCTGTACTATGCATGAGTTGTGAATTTGGTCTTTGTATTTTGATTTTAGTTGATTTTAATTCTTTGTACTTTTCGAGTTTTAAAACCTTTAGCCGTAACTCAAATAATATAAGGATAATATGACTAAATTATAAAGATTTAAAATGATCAAATTGAAGAATAAAATTTGTATATACATAATATATTGACTAATATTAGAAGTTCATTTAACATGTTCATATTAGGACTAAAATTTCAAACTTAAAAGATATGGAAATTTAAAAGAATTTTTTGATTATCATTGACAAACAATTGATTTAACGGAATAAAATGTTAAATTTCGTTTAAGGTTAAGATTTTGAATTCTCCTATTATAAATAATGTAATATAAATTGAAAACGTAACTTCAATAATGATATTTAATCTAAATTAACTGATCAATAAATTAAATATTATGATTAAAATAAAAAAATCTTTAGCTATTGATATGTTAAATAATATTATTATTATTATTATATTTACATAGTCGTCTTATGTTTACTTTTTTCATTAAATATTTA